TTCTTTGGTATTCAGTTCAGACAGGGTTCATTGGTGTTCAGTTGAGACAGGTTTCATTAGTGTTCAGTTTAAACAGGTTTCATTAGTGTTCAGTTTAGACAGGTTTTTTTGGTATTCAGTTCAGACAGGGTTAATTGGTGTTCAGTTTAGACAGGTTTCATTAGTGTTCAGTTTAGACAGGTTTCATTGGTGTTCAGTTTAGACAGGTTTCATTAGTGTTCAGTTTAGACAGGTTTTTGTTGGTATTCAGTTCAGACAGGGTTCATTGGTGTTCAGTTCAGACAGGTTTCATTGGTGTTCAGTTCAGACAGGTTTCTTTGCTATTCAGTTCAGACAGGGTTCATTGGTGTTCAGTTTAGACAGGTTTCATTAGTGTTTAGTTTAGACAGGTTTCATTAGTGTTCAGTTTAGACAGGTTTCATTGGTGTTCAGTTTAGACAGGTTTTTTTTGGTATTCAGTTCAGACAGGGTTCATTGGTGTTCAGTTTAAACAGGTTTCATTAGTGTTCAGTTTAGACAGGTTTCATTAGTGTTCAGTTTAGACAGATTTTTTTTGGTATTCAGTTCAGACAGGGTTCATTGGTGTCCAGTTAAGACAGGTTTCATTAGTGTTTGGTTTAGACTGGTGTTATTGGTGTCCAGTTAAGACAGGTTTCATTAGTGTTTGGTTTAGACTGGTGTAATTGGTGTCCAGTTCAGACAGGTTTCATTAGTGTTTGGTTTAGACTGGTGTTATTGGTGTGCAGTTAAGACAGGTTTCATTAGTGTTTGGTTTAGACTGGTGTAATTGGTGTCCAGTTTGGTTCAGACTGGTGTAATTGGTGTCCAGTTCAGACAGGTTTCATTAGTGTTTGGTTCAGACTGGTGTTATTGGTGTCCAGTTCAGACAGGTTTCATTAGTGTTTGGTTCAGACTGGTGTAATTGGTGTCCAGTTCAGACAGGTTTCATTAGTGTTTGGTTTAGACTGGTGTAATTGGTGTCCAGTTAAGACAGGTTTCATTAGTGTTTGGTTCAGACTGGTGTAATTGGTGTCCAGTTAAGACAGGTTTCATTAGTGTTTGGTTTAGACTGGTGTAATTGGTGTCCAGTTTGGTTCAGACTGGTGTAATTGGTGTCCAGTTAAGACAGGTTTCATTAGTGTTTGGTTTAGACTGGTGTAATTGGTGTCCAGTTAAGACAGGTTTCATTAGTGTTTGGTTTAGACTG